CACTGAGCTTGGTTCTGCTGGAGGTTGATTCTTCCTGTCCACTGTTACTGCATGCATGCTAGGTGCAAAGGATTGCTACAGAGTCAGAAACCTTACACAGCCAAATGTCTACTCTCCCTATTTGCTCATCCAGGAGAAGATTGAGATTGACTGAATGCAGCTAGCTGTTTATTTATCAGACTGAAAACTTTTATCCAGTCTAACTGTCTGTTCTTATTGAATTTTCTCAATAAAGTGACTTGAGTTGGCATTAAATCAACTGAACTGAATTCACTTTTAGCCACTAGGGGTGCTAAACCTGTTACTTCCAGGTTTATCCATCCTGAAAGCTACTGACAGATACAGCCGTAAAATCAAACAGTCTTTCTTAGTGTTTTAGAATCTGATAGCACATCACTTTGGACCAGCAGACTGAGAGGTCATGAAGTTACTGGTGAAGATTAAGCTCTCTAGATTAAATCCAACATCAGACAACCAAAAATATATGTCATCAGAGTGATGGGCCTGCAGGTGCTTAAAAAACATCAGCGCTCCAACTACAGGTTGCTCTAGTGCAGGCCAACAGGATTTACAAAGATGCTTAATGTTAAAAGATTTTCAGGAAATAACTAAGTGAAAGCTTTATCTCTGATTTAAGCCTGTTTTGTGGTTTATCTCTGTTTAGTTGGCCAACATAAACTTTTAGCTCTAGTGCTCAAGCTGCCATAAAGCAGTGCTCTAGGTCACATGATGCATTCAGTGACGGAGCTGACTCTCTAAAGTTACATATGACATTTTTAGGAATGCAGCATTGATACGCACCAAGTTTGGAGTAATAACCTAAAAAAATATTTATTATACCTAAAATTCAGCTGAGAGTTGGAACAAAGGTTACACAGCTTTCACAGGCAAGGGTTTGTAAATGTAAGTATCTAGACCTTTTATTATTTGGCCCAATGAACTATATTACGGTCACCAATGAGTCGCTTTTAGACATAAATCCCAGTAATTTACTGGGACAACGTACCCATGTCGAACAACGCGACACATTAAAACTGGACACATAATTCTTATTTGTGCAATTAGAAATAATCCAGGAAGCTAATTTATGTGTCTTATTGGGGATTCAGCTCAAATCGTTTGGCACCTGATCAAAATAGGAAACTCTTAACAGGTCTATTGGTGCAAATTTCTGATTTACTCTGTTATTCCCATTTGTTGGAACTTTGACTCAATAAAGTGTGACAGAAAAGCTTGAAATCTGATTTAAATCAGGCAATAAAAAACATGACAGCGTTGAGAAGAGATTTCTCCAGCCTCTCTTTTTCATACTATTCACCTTTGCACATTTATTAGTAGCCATACATTTGTAGTCAGACAACTGTGCATGCAGACTAATGTCTGAGGGGATTTTATGCTAAAAACCCCAACAAATAACAGATCCAAAATATGCCCAGGGAGAACAGAAATGCTCATGTCTTCTTACTGCAAAGCAGCAGTGCAAACATTACAGTATCTCTGCAGCAACATCTGATTTTAATTAACTGGATTACATATTTACAGATAAGTCAGGGAAAAATGCTGCAACCTTTCAAAAACTGTCAGAACCATCTTGTATTTTGATGATCTAAGTGAATGAATGCTAAAACAAAAGAGGAATGCATACGCGTGAGCTGGCTAAAATAGAAAAAGCGCAGTGGTTGGTTTGTAGAAAGAAACACTGCAAGAAAAAAAAAATTGATGTGAAGGAAGTCGGAAAGTAGAAAAGGGCAGAAAATAGGAGGGATTGAAAGCCAGCCTGCAGCGCAGACAGACTAACAATTGAGCTGGAAGGTCACTGAGTTCCTGCAGAACAGAGCACAGGAGAAAAAAAATGAGGAAGAGGCAAAAAAAAAAAAAAAATGGGGGGTTTGATAAACAAAACCGTCTTTTTGGATTTCAGACCACCTCCAGCTCCACAGTCTAAAAAACCTCAGAGACACATTAAATAAGGGAGCTAAGGTGAGGTTAAAAAGGTTAAAACAGAGGTTAGGGTGTCAGTCATATCTGAACGGATTGTTCTAATTTGTTCACAAACAAAACGGCTAAATTAGAAACTGTGTTTCATTTCTAAGAAAAGCGATTATTCAACAAATGGACCACGTGGATGTCAGATGGGCTCGCTAGACCATTTGGAACACCAGGTGGTCACCGATTCATCAAAGAACACCGCAAAGCAATGTTTTGTTTTCATTAACAGCCGGGATTAAGACCATTAATGGGATTCTTAGTCTGCTGCCAAACTAACAACAGTTTTATCGTCTCGAGCAGCTGATTCTGATGAGCAACACCGGTTGGCGTGTAAGCCCCACAGCTGCAGATGTTCAGGCTTCAAAGTGAGTACAAACAACGTTATCCCAGATGAAGACAATCTTCTGGTGATTCTGTTTAAACCTTCCTCCTCACGTTTAATAGCTTTTTGTTTGGAAATGAAACACTCACATGGATGTGCTTGAAAAAACTCATTTCAACTGACCTTACACTCTCCGTTCACACAAACGTCCACGGAGTCATCCCGACACGGTGTGCCGTCCACCACTGCGGGAGCTCGCTCTGTGTAGAAGTTGTAACCTTCTGCAAGGCAGTTGAGAGAACAGGGCTTCACCCCACCTGGACAAACACAAAAACCACAAAACCAGCACGTAAAGTGTTAATATACGTACAATACCCACATTAAGACAGGAAAGGACAAACATATGGAAGGTTGTTTGTTGTTTTAGGAGGATTTTCTGCGGTTTCTCTGATACAACACACCACTAGTTCTACGTGAATCATAATAATAAAGATCACAGTTAAATGGTTTCACTTGTGTATCCATCAGCAACAACTAATGGTGTCCATCAGGGGTCTGTTACAGAACCACTACATTTCAACCCCTGTATCAGAATCATATTGGCCAATGTGTTAACAGTAATCATCAGAGTTGCAATTTTTGTTTTTCTCGTTTTGAGTGACAAAAAACTGCCAATGCCTCAGCTTGGACGTTTGTGCAGAATCAGACCCTCTCTGGTCGTTAGAGGCTCGGGATTCTCTACGCTTCAGGCCAGGGATATTCAAAGTTTTCCAGGCTAAGGACCCCCAAACTGATGGCAAGATGGAGCAGGGACCCATCTAATTATATATATATATATATATGGTATGAAATTGTGTTCTATCAAACTGGTCCTATAGTCACTCTATTACAGATGGAGTCATAATATGAAAGTAATTTCTCCCTGGGATTATTAAAGTATTTCTGATTCCTGGTTGATGGGACAGGTGTTGTGAATGAAATGGTGTCCAGCTTGAAAGAGCTCCTGTGTGTCGCTGAATGTGTGCATTGATGGCTGAAAGACATCTTCTGCCTCCATTTATCTGTTTACTACAGTGTGTTAAATTCATGTTAATGTGGATTTAAAGACATTTCAATTAGTGGAAAAAATGCAGGGAGAATATAAAAAAATGCGTAATCAAGCAAAGCTTTCGCAACCCCCATGCATTACCTCCTGTTGAAGGCCTCCCCTTTAGGCAATGAGTTACCATCTTTGAAAACAACACTTTGTAACCTCTGACCGAAGCATCAACTTAGAAGTATATTCAATCATTTTTCAGTCAGTATTCAACACTTGGGGCTACCTAGGCTCTGTGTGGGCTGATCCATCTGAGGGGATAGATCAACACTTACTGGGTCAAATATAAAGTTTGGTTCAGAGGGAATTATAGCATAGGGCTGCTTTTCTTAAGCTTGGGGTCATTGTGTTTGTTGATGCCAAAATTCAGCTCAAGCTAAACTACCTGTGATATTCTCTCTAACTTGGCAGTAGAAAACTCCAGAGGATCTTATGATTAACATTCAAGCCTGACAGTTAAGTTGGTCAAAAGAGGCTGTGATACTCGTTATAGCAGGAAGGATTGGATGGCTTGAAGTTGAAGTTTAACTCCTCCCTGCCAGTAGGTGGAGCACAACTGCTCTTGTTCCAACCTTCAATTATACAGTTTGCAAGGCCTGCCAACATTAACCATATCTTACCATAACAGATTTATTTATGAAGCACTTGAAACCCCAAAGTGCCAGGACAAAAGTGCTATACGTAATTATAAGATACATTTCTCTAAGCCACTTCTACACCAAAGCCTGACCGATGTTTACCCTTTTTTTGCTGCTTTTTGTTATGTTAGTTTGAATCTTGACAAATCAAACGTGAAGAAGAAGCCATTTCTCATCTCTACCATGCAGCTCTTGGCATTTCACAACCCCTTAGCTCTGTATCATCTGACTTCAAGTGGCTCAACCATATTGGTGCAAAATCGTTATGTACTGACGTTGGCTTTCTAACCAGAAGTAAATATTTATATTTTTTGGACCAGTCAAAAATTTACAAAACACTTGTTTATGCAATTTTTGAAAATACTTTTATTCTGCACCACTCTAAAAGGTCCTTTTTAGTATTGTAACTAATGAATATTTGGTAAATCGACTGATCTGTTGACTTTTTTTTGTTGATTAATTGATTAACACAGGGCGACAGTGGCGTCGGATGTAGGAGTTTGCCCTGAAATCGAAGGATTGACGGTTCAAGCCCCGGCTCTGATTTTCATTGTCGTTGTGTCCTCGGGCAAGACACTTCACCTGCATTGTCTACTGATGGTGGTCAGAGGGCCCGGTGGCGCCAGTGTACGGCAGCCCCGCTTCTGTCAGTGAGCCCCAGGGCAGCTGTGGCTACAATGTAGCTTGCCACCATCAGTGTGTGAGTGAATGGGTTAAAGAATGTAGTGTAAAGCGCTTTGGTCAAGTTACCTGACTTGAAAAAAGGCGCTATATAAGTACATGCCATTTACCATAACACTTGTATAGAGAAAAGGTTCTTTATAGAAATGTATTTTCAGAATTTAAACCAGGTGAAACTAAAACTATTTCACTTTAGGCATTCTGGATAGAGCATATTGATGGACAAAAAAAAAGTTTTTATCCAAAATGGAAAATGTTTAAATGTTTTTCCAACAATGTTGGTATAATCACTGCTCCAAGTGGGTTGCTATGTTGGCTAAAGGCATATCTTAGAGTCTCTATGCTTCAATGGCTATTAATCAGTAACTAAATTAATTGACAATTATATTAATAGTTTATTATTTCAAATTATTCCGATTAATTGTCCTAATCGTTTAGATAAGAAAGTTGTAGCTGTGTAACTTTAACGTCCCACTGAGTGTTGGTCCTTTCAGAAGAAACAGAAGCCCTGTAGGTGTGTGTGTGTATCCTGGCTTGAAGTTTCCTGTAAAACAAGTTCTTGATTCCTTTCTTATAACCACTGTGTTTCTGTGTTTAGGGTTGCTGTTAATAAACAGATTTAACACCTTGGTGCACAGAGGAGCTCATGAGATTTGAGTGAGTCTTGCACTGTGCCCTAGTCCCATCATGACCTTATTCACCAGAACACCACTACCGTGCTTTACATTTGGTTTGAGGCATTTCTAATGGTTTGTGGCAGAGCTCCTGCTAACACCTCCCAACAATCCGAAGCTGTTCACTGTTTTTCTAAAACCATCTTTCCCATTCAGGACAGAGGTTTTATGGCTACAAGAACTGAGTGTCATTGCTGGTGTTTTAGTGTTGGTTTGGCATTAACACATAACTGTATGTTCCACTCCAGCATATAGCCAAAAACTCCTGGCTTTATATTAGTGTACACACTGATGATAATCAGTTAAACAGGACAATTAATTGCAAGTTTCTGGCAGCTTCTTTTGGACAAACTTTATTTTAACCCAAAGCTTTAGTATTTAGTATCTTGGAGATGTACAGGGGTGTTCTTAGTAGCCAATAAAAATGAAAAAATGACAACAAATCAACCATCATGTTTAAACACTGGCGCATTCAACGCAGCACTGCTACAAATCTTCATTCATGTGTGAAACAACAGCTTCTTTTTAGAGCTGCTGCTGACATCGTCCATGTTTGTTTGTGCTGGCATGCAGCAGTCGAACTAGCAGACAATAAATTGGTCTGACCTTAGGAAAACTACAACTCCCATGGTGCTGAGTTTTTGGCAGGGCAGTCGTAGCTCTCAGGTGTGGCGTCTGAAGTGTCAAGGTGGAATCTGAAGGCTGCTAGCCTGAAATCATTGACACGCAACAGCTTGTTTGATGGAAAAAAGAGAGGTTTTTTTTGCTTTAATAATTGAGCTGTCCTTGGCTGCCTGGGCTGTAATAAACTGCATGTTTCTGTTTTGCATCTCAGGATAGAAGTGAGAAGAAGAAATGGCATGATGCTAGACTGAATAAATTAAGAACTGGAAAGGACGGAAAAACTAGAGGAGAAAGTGGGCGACGTAAAAGAAGGAAGTCCCAGCAGAGAAGAGCCTGAGAGGGGTTATTTGACTTTAACAAGGAAAAGAGGATTTTGGCCCTTTCCCCATTCTAACAGCTATGAGGGATTTTTTTTCTTGAAAACTCAGCTGACTTGATGAAAAGACCATTTGTTGGAAATATTTTAACGTACATCTCTGCAAGCCAATATGTTTGAAATTAAACCAGCCATGTCATTCAAACTATCTTTCACATCCAGTTTTCATTGTCCGGCGTTCAGCGGGAATGAGAAATTCCCGCGGAGAAACTCTGGGATGTGAGGAATCTCTGCAGCCGGCATCTGCAGACCAGACAGGACGGGTAATGGGTCGCTTCACTCCAGCACATACAGAACAAGCAGCTTGGATTCAATTTATTTAAAAAGCACAAAACTAAAAGCAAAAAACAAAAAACAAAAGCACATGTCTTTAAAGGTTTAGAGAATAAATGCATCCAGTTTAAATGAAAGTGCAAGATGCACAGGTTTTTATTGGTTGTCTAATCCATTCTGCAGACCAGGAAGGGCCTCAAAAGTCTTTGAACCTCGTAAAGTGAAAACAATCTAACTAAATTATGAGTGATAATTTATAACCACCAGGAAGAAACATGGAATCTGTCCTCTAGGATGATTTTCTTTTCAACTGTCTCTTTTAATTTGAATTAAAGAATAATAAATCAGTTTTTTACACAAAACTGTTACATCTAATAGCTGATATTATGGCTTTAACAAACTTGCTTAGAGCAGGGATTCCCAAACATTTCAGCCTAATAAAAATAACACACAGCCTGGCAAACCACTGTATAGTTATTGAGTCATTTTATCTTTTTTGTGAAATGTAACAATCTTGTTCATCATATGTAAATGTAATATTAATTATCTAAAGGGAGAGTGTGTACCAAACATATGAGCAGAAATCCAGTATTGATTTTATAAATAAATCTATATTTAATACAATAAGATCACAATAAAAGCGTCCGTAAAGTTTAGAACTAGTATTTTTTTAAATCCATAGAGGGAGGTGAAAGACGCCGTGGTGCGTCCCCGTTTTTGATCAGGGTAGCTGAAACCTGTATCTGAAAATGTGTTGTCAGTGGGGGAGGAGTTAAAAACAACCAGAAACAACCATAGATTATTCTACCTTCTACTTTCTGTTGCAGTGGAGAGGAGAACCGTTAGTACTAGAAACAAACCATAAAAATAAAAGAAGTAATAACAGGGAGCAAATGACATCGGCGAAGCCTTTACCAGGTAGGGAAAATGAAAGAGAGAAAACAGACGCAAATGT